TGTGCCGCCCTGCAGGGGATGAGCATCGCCGTGCTGGGCCCCACGTTCCCCAACCTGGCCGCCAACGTCCGCAGGAACGTCAGCGACATCTACTACATCTTCGTGGGGCGGTCGCTGGGCTACCTGGGCGGGTCGGTGCTCGGGGGGGTGCTCTTCGACTGCATGGACCCCCACCTGCTGCTGGGTGAGTGCCAGACCCGCGGATCCGGGGTTCCCGTGGGTCTCTCGGTCGCCGCCGCGCTGTTCCGTGTTGTTGCTTTGCTGACACCGTGTGCGGGTGTTACCGTTGGGCTTGCTGGGCTTTGAAACCACTAAACCTGTTTGCATTGACCCAAAGGTGTCTGTGGTTTGGACAAAGAAAGTACAGCGTTTCATATAGGTTCTCTTGGGACACAGAGGTTTCTGCAGTCTTTCTCTATGAAACGCATACAGAGAACAGGGGAACCTGTGCTTCGGCTTTAATTTGCACACAGCAGAAAACTGTAGTCACACCGAGGGACGCTTCTGTAGCTTTGTAAAAGCCTTCTCTTTCTTAAAGATTAGCAAAGTGCCCATTTTTGTGTATCAAACGAAAGGACTAAGACTTTGACTACAGGGTCTTAATCAAATTAGAATGTATTCAGAGTGAAAAAGCATTAAACTGCCTCTGTGGTGGTGTAAACTTGCTGCTTAGTTGCTGCCTGGCTGTGAAAATGTTTAAAGGAACCACAGTTTATGATCTTAACAGTTTTCTGGCCAGGTGGAAGCTCTCCAGTGGGAGCACAGGATGGTCATGATCCTGGCAGAGTGGGGCTGCTTGGCCCTCAGAATCCACACTCAGCACCCAGAAATTAGGTGCTCCTGTCAGAGTTGCCTTAGTGCCTTGTTCAGGTGGAGGTTCTCAGAGCACACCTACACTGGGGGAAGCTCTGGCTGTTTTTCTTTCAAGTGCAGCAGAAGTGGTGTGTGGCTTTGTGCTGTAAGTCAGGGATTAAAGCTGATACCTGGGCTGGCTCTTCCTTTCCCTTCCCATACTTGGGGAGAGGAGCAAAATTGTGTCCCTTCTGAGGACTGTGCTGTGATCACTGAGTTCAGAGAACATGAGAAGGTCCAAATTGCATTGCTGGTGTTTGAACTAAGTCTGATCTTATCCCTGCATGCCTCTCTTCTGCTGTCAGGTGCAATCATGTCATATAATGTCTGTCTGTCTCGCTTTTTTCCCCTCTCTTGTCTTCACCTCCCTGGACCAGTTCTTCTGACTTGCTCTTGTTCTAAGGTGTCTTTACTTCATCCTTCCTGTTGCTCTTCTCCCCCACCTGCAAAGCAGGTTTCTTGTAGCTGCCTTGTACATCTGACAAAGTCAGAGTTGTGTGTGTCTGGCATTTGAGACTCTACCTTCCATTTGAGACTCTACCTTCCATAACGGCATTAATACACCTGTGGAAGTATTAACTTGACATCATTTAGTATTGACTTGTTTTCCTGATATATCACACAGGATGGCTGTCTGTCAGCAATGCTTGGAGAATGTTTCATATCCTAATCCTTTCCAGTTTGGTAGCACTTATGGCAAAACCAAAATTTGAACCACTGAATCTCTTGGCTTCAGGGTGACCTTAGAGCACCTTCCAGTGCCTGAAGGGGCTCCAGGAAAGCTGGGCAGGGGCTTTTCGTCAGAAAAGATAGTGATAGGACAAAGGGTAATGGTTATAAACTGAGAGAGGGGAGATTTAGGTTAGTTGAAGAAATTCTTCACCCTAAGGGTGGTGAGGAACTTGGGATGGGTTGCCCAGGGAGGTTGTTGATGCCCCATCCCAGGAGGTTTTTAAGGCCAGGTTGTACGAGGTTTTGTGCAGCCTGGGCTGGTGGTTCCCTGATCATGGCAGGGGGGCTGGAACTGGATGATCCTTGAGGTCCCTTCCAACCTGAATGATTCTATGATTCTCTCATTTCTGTCATCTGAGGGCTGCCTGGAAGAGATTTTGGCTCAGGTAGTTTTACCTCCCATCTTTCAATTGCTGAAACTCAGCTGCTAAGACATAATCTGTCAAGAAAGCATTTAAGTACCAATCTTCAGGTGAAAAGTTGAAGGGGAAAACTCAGAATTTGCTGAGAAGTTACTTTTCAGCTCTGAGTGGGGCATCTGAGAAGCTGCATGTAACATACCCCATCTTTACCTTTTCTCCTCTGCATCCCAGCATCCTAGCCCTCAAGTATTTTGTGAGGCACATATCCCAAATATCTTTCTAGGGCTCTAGGGTTCTGGATGCTTGTTTTTTTTCTGTTGTTTTTCTTTGGAATTGACCTGAGTTCTTAATGTCATCAATCCCCATTGATCTTCAAGTATCTGCCCCATGTATGATCAAGCATTGAGATGTCTGAACTGGTGCAGGCTTTCAAGAAACCTAATACTGTACATTCAAGATGCTAATTGCAGATTATTTTGTTATGAAGGTGATTATAAGCATTAGAACGTAACTGCTGAACTTCCTCCCAAATTGCAGTAAAAATACTTTCCATCTGCTAAAAAATACTTTTTGAAGTGGCATGTTTTAAGGGTCAATAGTAGCAAAACTAATGCAGTTAATAAATTGCTGGTAAATTTATGATGACAAATTTTGTAGTTCTGTCTCTTAGAACTCCAGAAATGCCTTGGAATGCATCCCTCATGTGAGAACAGAATGTAAATTAAAGTCAGCCCTTCTGTATGGAGGTTGCTCGTTAGCCAAGAAATTTTGGCCCAGGATTTTAAGAATTCAGTGATTTTAGTTCTTTTAAAATGGAGCCAAATGTGATGCTCTGTAGTTCTCAGAAGAAAAACTTCATACTGTTCCAAACCATGTTTTACTTCTTTCATTTAAAAGTAGTGTTTATAGATCAGAAGTTTGCAGAAGACTTCTTAGTGTTGTAGCAGCAGATGCTGTCCCCTTTGCAAATGAAGCTTCAGCAAAGCAGATTTTTCACACAGTGTTTATATTCTGATGAAAATCCTTCTTTTTCAAGTGGAGAATTATTATGCTGAACTTCCTCACTGCTTCTGCTAATCATTAGTGGACGTTGTTAGGTGACACCACCTGTGTGGGTTATCTGTAAAGCTAATGATGAATGGATTTGTGTTTCTTGGTTTGCTCTTTGTTATAATGAAAACTGATTTATCTGGGGGGGTTTTGTTGTTTTATTTTAACCTTTCCAGCATTGTCCATGTTTGGAACAACAGTTGGGCTCTATGGGATACCCTGGTGTAAGAAATCCCTGCTGTTAACTGCCTTGATGTCAGTTATCGGAGGTTCGATGGGAATTCTAGACACAGGTAAGAGACCACATGATCTGATAATTCCTTCACTGAAGTAGTTGGCATTTTAATTCAAATTCACCCAAACTGTTCCTGGTATTTAATTGGACACATTTTGAATGGAAAGTGGGGAGCTGTTTCATCTGCCTGGGATACTGAGACTTCCAGTGTTTGTGTCTCTGTAGCAGGCCTGCCTTCATGAAGGGGCTTGGGAAGGTGCGTGTCTCTCGTTTCCTGGAGAATGTCAGTGCACGTTTCATTGGGCAGCTACAGGCATAAAGAAAGCATCCTGTGCTCTTTAAACAGTGTTTTCTTTAAATGACTCATCTAGAGGAAGCTAGTTGGGTTATGGTTCATTAGTGCCAGCTGGAACAAAATTAGTCCTGAGCAAGCCCTGGTGTTGAAGAGAGATTTGAGATCAGTTGCTGTGCTGGAGTTTGCCACTTCAGTCTGGCCTGGGCATCTACTGCCACAGCTCGCTGACACCATGTCCTCCATCTCCCTGAACTGAGGAATGTTAATGTTTGCTGCCCTACTCCAGCCTCACTTAGGTGTTTGGGAATACAGATTTATTCCATGCCCCAAATTGTAAGTCCATGGCATGTGCCTGCTGCAAACAGCCTGGGGAAAACATTTCTGCTGGAAACCTGTTGAAAACCAGTTTCTCAGTAGAGGCTCCTTGTTGGAGAAAAACGTACTGTTGAAGTTGCAGAGCAGAGGTCTGCAGGTGCTGTGGGAAGGTCAGTGGTGCCAGAGGTACAGATAGGGAAGGTCTGCATGGATTAGTTCCTTCGGCATGGCCTGGAAGAGGGAGTGAGGGATGGCTGCAGTGGGCAGGCTGGGTCAGGAGGTGAGGCCACAGGAAAGACCTGAGGCTGCCTTGGAACAGCTGGGTAATGCTGGCATGCTTGAGATGGGGATCAGGACACCACCAGAGGACATCAGTGTTGGAGTGTTGTGGCTCATGAACCGGGTAGGTAGCTGTGCAGCTCTGAAGTCAGAGCCTTGAGACAGGGACACTTCCCAGCAGGAGAAACTAAGAGGAAGGCAACTAACTGACTTGATCTGGAAGTGTGTTGGTGCTGCGTGACAAGGGCTGCTGCACTGCAGCACAGGAAGTTGACCACTGCTCCAGTTTTCTTGCATTCTTCTCAGAGACTACTTAAAAATGTCTAAATGTCTCTCTGAGATCTTATTTTCTGGCTTATTGTTGATCTGAGGGTGTTGTAATTCGGTCTCTGCAGCTGTTTTCCTCTCAACCTTTCTGTTTCTGGAAGCAGCATTAGTTGTTTGAAGGCAGCTGGGCTAGTCCCAGCCTGTGAGACACCAGTGATTCTTGATGTTTCCTGGGATGCTGTTTAATGAGACCTCTGATCCTCAGCTTTGTGCATTGTTGCTTGTAAAAGTGAGCTTTTTCTGCTCAAAATCTGCTTCTTTTTTTTTTTTTTTAAAAAAAAGGTGATAAATGCTGCAAACTGTCAAGTAGGGTGATTAAGGACAGGCACTGGTGCTGGATTAAGCCACTGGGTGGCTGCCTCCCTAAAGCTCACGTGGGTTTAAGGTGCTTACAGGCAGAAATTCAGTTCACTGCAATGTTGACCAATGTATTTTCCTTGCTTATTGTAGGGGGGTTGGACTAGGTGACCTTTGTAGGTTCCTTCCAACCCTTCACATTCTATGATTCTATCGCTAAACCTGGTATTATTTCCAAGTGAATTAATCCAGGTTGGTTATGGGTTTTTTGTTTGTTTTGTTTTGTTTGTTTGTTTTTTAACCAATATCTGTTTGCAGGCTAAAATGACAGTACCCTCCTGTCTCCCCTCTGCAGGTGGCAATGTGCTGGCACTGAACACCTGGGGAGCAGAGGCTGGGCCACACATGCAGGCCCTACACTTCAGTTTTGCTGTTGGTGCATTTGTTGCTCCCCTCCTGGCTAAAATGGCCTTGGGAGGCCCCGAATCTAAAGACCTTCCAGTGGTTGAAAAGACAAACCAGTCTGTGCCAAGATCTGTGCCGACAGGACTGAAGCAACATTTTGGTGCAGATTTCTTGTGGTCCTATGTGGTCATAGGGACCTATCTCCTGTTTGTTTCTTTTTTCTTTTTTATCTTGTATTCAAAGGGCAGCTCAGCTCGAGAGAAATCAAAGGCTTCTCAGCAGAAAGGCACGCTTGCCAAATACCACTATACCCTTATTGCCCTCATGTTCGTATTCTTCTTCTGCTACGTGGGAGCAGAGGTCACTTACGGCTCTTACATCTTCACCTACGCCAAGGTCTTTGCTGAGATGCAAGAGAACGAAGCAGCTGCTCTGAACTCTGTCTTCTGGGGTGCATTTGCAGCCTGCCGGGGTGTGGCCATATTCTGTGCTGCCTGCCTCTACCCGGGCACCATGATCCTGCTGAGCCTCCTGGGCTCTGCTGCCTCCTCTTTCTGCTTGGCCTTCTTTGCGGAGCACCCACTCTCCCTGTGGGCCGGAACCGCCGTCTACGGGGCGTCGATGGCCACGGTCTTCCCCAGTGGCATTTCCTGGGTGGAGCAGTACACGGTGGTGCAGGGAAAATCCGCCTCCCTCTTCGTGGTGGGCGCCGCGCTGGGCGAGATGTGCATCCCTGCCATGGTGGGGTATCTTCAGGGCAGGTTCCACCACGTCCCCGTGGTGATGTATGCTTCGCTGGTGACCTCGCTGATGACCGTGCTCCTCTTCCCCGTGATGTACAAATTGGCCAACTCTCCCCAAGAGAGCAACTTGAGAGAAACAAGGGACAGAGAGTACCAGAAAGCTCTGTTGTCAAACTCAGGGCTCACTGAGGATGAAGAAGATGAGGAGGATGCAGCAGAGTGGAACGAGGCAGACTTTGAGGTGATAGAAATGAATGACGCGCTGAGAAACTCTGTGGTAGAGACCTCCCGCAAGATCCCAGGGAACTCTCCGGCCCAAGTCACTCTCCAGCCCCACCTGGAAGATGTATCCTGTGATCCTCCACTGGTTGGGGGTGGCTCCCCTGGGGGAGAAGATGGGAATGTTGACCAGGAGAAGAATGATTAGAGTAAAAGCTGACTGCCTTGTGTTTGTTAAAGGGAAGTGCAATGGAATTGTAGCTGCTCTTGTAAAGTGGTTCAAGAGTCCTGTCAGTGGCGCAGAGCTCAGTGCTTCCATTCCCGTTTGTCCAGCCTTTTCTCCTCATTCACCTCCAGCCTGCAGGGATGAGTCCTGGAGCGGGAGCACACAAAGAGCAGAGACGTTTTCTAAATGTGGGGCATGCACAGGGGACTGCTCAGACCACTCCGGTTTTGGGAGGTGAGTGAGGGTGCAGTTCTGAGGTAGCTTGGTCACACAGTGTTTTCATGGGAGAGGAGAGAAATCTGTGATCTGTGATGTTGAGCTCTTATCTCCTGGAAGAAGAATGTTCCTGCTGCAGTGCGAGTTGGTGTGGGACATGAACCAGGACATGAAGTCAGATTTCAGTTGATGCCCAATGGCTGGAAATCAGAGAACCCATTGGCAAACTGGAATGTTCTGGTTCTGTCAATTGAGAAAAAATGACAAATTAATTTTTAGAAGTGGAACTGTGCCTTTGGGCCATTTAAAAGCAGTGTCTGGGAGGGGGGGCAAAATGGGTGGTATTAATCTGCTCTAATGCTTAACTCTGGATTTACCAGTTGAATGGTGGTGAGAAATCTAAGTAGTCTCAAGTACTTGTGATTGTACTTGTGGTTTTGATTACAGCACTGAAATCAAGGCATGTGTGAAGATAAACAGATTTAGGAGATGGTATTGACATAGGGCTATGGTATTTTTCAGCCAGTTGCTTAAATTAAGGTTGTAATAACTTCTCTGGCTTCCAGTGCCAGGACTGGAATGTTGTGTTAAAATGGAAGTTTGAAAAGGAGAGGGAATTACTGGTGAGACATCCTTCCCGGTTGCACTGCACAATCCCCTGCCCCTTTCCCAGTCAGATTGGTGCTGTCTGGGGGTCGTTCCCATGGGTGGTGCTGGACAGGAGGCTCTTCCTGGTGGAGCAGCAGTGGTTGGTAGGGGTAGGGTCACTGCTGCCAAGCAGGAGCACCTGGGATGGACCTGTCAGACCAGGCAGCCCTAGCCAGGGAGAGAAAACAAAGCAGCAGCTCATGACAAAATGGGAGTCTGAACCATTGAACCCTGAAATACTGGGCTTGACATTTGTCTGACACTCCAGATTTGAACAGATTTTTTTAAAGGCTGTGTGATTACATTGTGCTCATCTTTGGGCTTTTTTTTACTTTGCACTTTTATAAGTAATTTTCTTGTGAAGAATTTTACTGACAATAGAGCTCAAGATGCAGCATAGCACAAAAACCTTAGATGTTCCCTGTATTTTCAGCTCTGTTTTGCTCCCTCCCTTGTCTTGAGTATGCAGCCTAGAATCTTGTGGCTTCTTCCTTCCTTCTGAGAAGTTAGTAAGAAGCAGGGATGAACTTGTAGTGAAAAATGCATCATTTTTTGGCATCTTGCTCTGCTGAAGTGCCTCCCTCTCCCTCTGCACTTTGTTTTCCCTGTGTGTGTCTGTGTGTCCCTGTGGTGTCTTTTCCAGTGCAATGCATCAACCTGCACTTTAAAACTCAGCCTTGTTCCACATGCCACTCAAGGGTTCCCTGTGCTTGCAGTGACAGGATATGCTTCTACCTGTCAGGACAAATCCTGCCTTAGGTGCGTGTGACATTGTTCAGCAGCAGGAAGGTCTATGTGGACTTGTGGATGGTACCAAGTGATGTGATGTGGCAGAGGTAGCCAGGGCTGAAGATGGAGCCTGCACTGCTGCAGGTTCCCCTTTCTCTTGCACTCCATAGAACTCCTGTCAAGAGCAGGGAGTGTTACCTGCTGATTAGGACAAACCCTGCTGGGCTGGAGGGAGGTGATACCTGCTGCTGCTGCTGCTCTGCGTTGGTGGGAGGTCCCACTCCCTGCCCGGGGAGGTCTCAGGTTTCCTATGGCAGAGCTGGGCTCTGCAGGACAACAAACCAAGGACAGGGACATGGATCTGGTGCAGCTCCCTGCTGCAGCTGTGCCCCACAGGCTGCACCTGACTCCACAGTGATGTAAAGAAGTTGTCACCTCCCTACCCAGACCTGAGATCATGTTGCCAGAAGAAAAATCAGTTGGAAAAAAAAACAACCCCACACCTGGTAACCAGGATGTTTTTTAAATGATTCAGAAGTCATATGCTAATTTTTTGGAATGAAATTTGAAATTGGAATGTCTGTAAGATTGTTCTCAGGGATAGTTAACCTTGCATGATCAACTGCTAAAAACAAGAAAATGGGAAATAGGCTGTAGTCTCTTTAAGCTGGCTAACCTGGCCTCCTGAACTGCTTTTATATATATATATATATATATATATATGTATATACACACACACACACCTGCAATTTGTGTTTCTGCTGTCTTCCTACCGAGTGTAAAAACACTGTGCAAAACAGTGATTGATTTATTTATAGTTGCCTGGCTGTATTAATTCCTGCATGAGTCACTTGAATTCATCCCTGCTCTCCCCCCCCGCCTTTAAAAGCAGGAGGCCTATGTAGCACAGAGTGCCAGCCTGGAATGCCAAGCTCAGCACAGGCTTTTGCCAAAAGGAACAGCTCTAAAAGGCAATGGCAGGAGGACAGAGTGGAACTCACACAGTGCTCGGGAATGGTGCTGTGTGGAGAGTCTTGTGCAGGTGACAGGTGGAGGCCTTTGGATGAGTCTAACTTGGGTGTCATCTTGGGACCTAGAACCTTCAACATCTTAGTTCTGGCCTCAAATGGAAGATAAGTATGGGCTTGGTTCTCTTTATTCCCTAAGAGCATGTTTTTCAGAGCAGGGGCTGCCTGTCTGAGAAGGAAGTGGTTAAAGCAGAGGAGGTTCAAACAGCTGGAGGACAGTTCCAAGGCTCACAGCAGTTCTAGACTTCCTTGATGTTCAAGGCTGTATGTTTCCTAGATCTTGGATCCTGGTGTTCCTTAAGACTTGTTTTTAGACAAGGAATGTTAGCTTTCATGTTTAAATTTCCTTCCAAAGTAAATTGTTGTCTAGCAGGTGCAGGTAAAGGGGGGATGTTCTTATAGTGCCTTGATGGGGGGGGGTGTTGTTTTTTGGTTAGTTTGCATAGAAGCACAGGGTGTGATGTTCTGGTGTCTGTGTCGGGTCTGTTCTGCTTGGTGTGAGTTTACATGGAACTGTGTAATGTGACATTTAACAGCCTGAATTGTATTTTTGAATGTAATAAATTCTTAACTGGAGAAGGCACTCTGGGTCCTTGATGTAAATGAAGTTTTAATCCAGTTTTCAAATGTCCTCTGGACTTCTGAGGTTAAAACTTGCTCCTGTTTTGACTGTTGGAAAACCAGAAATGTTTCCCTTCTGGTTTGGGGAAGGCTTTCAAAGTTGATACTGAGGTTTTTAGATCCCAAATCTTAAGCTGGAAATTAAATTGTGGATTTTTAACTCTTCTGTGATCCATCTTGTTTACAAATACTTGTGCGGCAAGTGAGGAGAACAAAGGAATCTGCAATTGGGGGTAATTATTAAAAAAAACCCAACATATAATTTTTACCATATCATTTTATTCAACTTTAATATGGTTTCCATTATTAACTTCTAAAACAAAATGATTTCCAGTTTAGAAAACAATGCACTGACCACATAATTCCTTTTCCATTTTATACAGTTATACAAATATTCTAAATACACATTTTGTCAAGATGGTGGCAAATAAGATTTAACTGTACAGTACGTAAGGAAAGAAAATATTTTAAGCATATTTAGAAGCAATAGAAATGTCTATACAAAACAAGCAAAAATGGAATAAAATTTTATATTTAAAGTATTGCAACAGTCCCACAGGTTTGTAACAAAAATGTCTTTGCACAGTTCCTCACAATGCCCCATTAATAGCTAAAGCAAGACAGCAATTTTTAGAAAATAATGTTTCAAAATGCTACACATGGTACTACTGCTTGCACAGTCTGATCAAAATAACCATCTACTTGGAATCAAGCAAAACTGAGGAGGAGATATACCAACCAACTTTAAAATTATCTGTATAAAAGTCATTGCACATTATTTTACTCAGTTGTTTGAAAAGTAAAAAAGTGTATTTACAAAATATTTCGCAGACAAAATTATAAAGTGAATGGGTAAAATGTAAGTAACAGGTGTGGGCGGGAACGGGGCAAGAACACACTCATGGGTTGAGCCTTTCGAGAGGTTTTCAGTGCTCCTTCCTCCAGGAAGTAAACTTGACTTCTGCTTTGAAATGGATTTACAAGGTGTTACACGTAGCTATTCCAACATCAGCATTATAAAACAGTATGTTAGAAACATGAAAGAAAGATTTGTACATCTTAAAAAGTGAGCTACTCGTAGATCAACACGTGTCGGTTCTTTTAATTTAGTTAGGATAAGCGTTCATTATTCTTCAGATAATAAACCCAACAGTTAAAATGGAAATCCTGGACTAGATGAGACTTGAAAAAGCACCATGCACAATAGTCTTAGTGTGGTAAACACTGAAAAAAAAATAGCACCTGGAATCCTGTAACAGGGATCATTTAAAACTGGTCAAGGAGCTGGCGCAGGTAGGGAGCCCGGGACAGGTCTCTGCTCACGCGGGACAGCTTGAAGAGCACTGGGCAGCTAAGGGAGACACACTGGATCTGTCCATCGAAGCAGCCTGTGCAGTTCTTGCATATCTGGGGTACATGTAAAAAAGCAAACCAGGTTAGTTTAAACTTGGCACCAGTGAGGCACAAATCTCTTGGGGCTCTAAAATCCTCGATGTTGTGTCAGAACAGACCCAGCCCTGTGAGCCCCAAGGTCCAGAGCAGCTCCCCTCTCTGCTGCAGCCTCTCCTGCCACTCTCCTGCTCCTGCTGGTGCCACCCACCCTGAGCTGGCTCCAGTCAACAGCTTGGGTTTCAATCCTGCTAATTAAGTTCTACCCATATGTGGTGGCACTTGGAAAAATAAGGTAAGTCAAGTGGATTTAAATGAAGCAGTGTGTTATATTAATGATAAACTGACCCT